GAAATTCGAATTTGAAATTGAATTTGAGATAAAAATTGACAAGGAGTTAAAATCACGATTTCTTTTTGGAAATATATTATTAAACTGGGTGTAATGCATTTCCACAGGGCCGGGGATCTTATTCCGAGCCCAGGGAACTGTAGTTGACTGACTGCCTTCAAAGTATCCAGAGGACGACTTGAGTAACTGTAAGAATTTGATAGCTCTTCTATCGCTAGTCATCCAAGAAAGGCACAGCACCCAACAAAAGTACTCTCTCTCGTATATAAATGTACAAAAGTGTGTCACTAACCAGGTGTACTCGTAGCACCATCTGACTATCGACTATCGTCGCTTGGCCATGGTTTGTTCATTTATGAACATTAAGTCATTTCCAAATCATACAGCCTCCGACTTCGAAGCAAAACTAAGGGTATTTTAAAGTAGCAGTAGATCGAGTGATTATGGCCGTATTTTGGCTGGGAATATATTCAATAGGTATGAAGTAATAGGGAAATAATCAAGAAGGGTCCTTTCAAATATTATAAACGGGTGTGATTTTTGCTTGCGATTGCGATTACCTAGCGCATGGCTAACCCCACAAATCATTTTAATTATATCTCAAAACAAGCAAACGTATTTCATCAAACAACACAAACACCAAGCGGCTTTAGCTCACTTGGGAGAGCGCCAGACTGAAGTCCACTTCAGCCCATTAATCTGGAGGCACTGTGTTCGATCCACAGAAGCCGCATTCTGCGAGTTGAGGCCAACCTCAACCATCATTTCTTTTTTGTGAATTTTCGCTATATTTTTGCTCAGTCTGTGTGTCTGTGTCGATATACTTGGTAGTGAGGCCATGAAAGTTTTTCTTTATGGGGCTTTAAATGGTCGGTATATGTTCGGGTGATCCCACCCACTTCTTATTTATTTTGGGCTCAAAGTGGGGTTCGAGATTATAGAACTCTACATTTTGATATTGGAAGGACTTCTTCAACAACCACATATGATTTTACTTGATATACTTTCCCTTTTCTTCTCGCTTTTTGTTTTAGAATACAGATGAAAAGTATACGAGTAAAACTTTAAATCTTCACTACTAAGTAGTAAGTATTTCTTTTGTTTATATATTATAGTATCTAACGTATACTCGTAATATATTACATTATTCCTCCGAGTCTCACTAATATAAATCTGAAATTCATACAAGAGAATAAGAAGAAAGTTGTTTTATTTTGGAGTTCAAGTTCATAGATTATAATTCCGATTAATTATTTCTTTCTATGAATATGAGGGGTTGACACCTCACGCTTTGTCCAAGTATAATGCAATCCGAGTCTTCAACTCGGACTGGATATATTATATTCCTCAAGGTAGACTGACTACGCATGAACAAACACACTACTCAGAAAATCCTCATCTGATGACTTGCATACCTGCCTTCTCTCCCCTTGCCCCTTGGCCGGTCATGGACACACTGTCCTGGGAAAGGTTCTAATAATCTACATGCTTGCCCTCCCCCCGGGCCAGTCATGAACGCACTGCCCAGGAAATCGTCATCTAACAACCTACATGTTTGTCATTTCCTTCAAGTCCCCCTAACACCAACATTACTGTTAGATCCCGTAACTTGCCTGTAATCCGTTCATTCTCAAACGATATCCAGTAGCACACCTGATATCGCTCCATCCCGGTCCCAAGTCGAGCAGCCAAACCGTATAATTCAAATCATGCTTAGCCTAGCCCAACACTCGCATGGTCTCCAGCATTCACTCAGATCAAAGCATCGTATGCGTAGTCATGCATTTAAGCCATGCAATAGACGTTCCTCCACCATTGATCAAAAGAGCTCTAGAGTTCCATCACGAATCTTTCTCTCAAAAGTCACCTCTCCATATTTTGAAGATAGTGAGTCTTGACACTCAGTACCAACCATGACGAAATTATAATCGACACTCTTATAGCCCCTCCACATCATTTTCTGATTCAACCATTTCAACCATGTCCTCGCATATCCTACATCTACCCACTTCCTCTTTTGCCTTGCCGAGAGATGTTTAAACTTAATGTCGTTATCTTTGTCGATAATTGTTGAACGTCGGATCTCGTTTATGACGACATAGATATTCTTCAACGAGGGAAGATTTTGCCGAATGTTTGCAAATGCTTCGACACTATTGGGAGCCTTCTGAGGGTTATCGGTAAGCCATGTTCGGCGCATTGCCAAGTTTTGAACCTTCATCATTGGAGGGCTGGAGAGAAGAGTTTCGTAAAGGATGTTGGAGTTTTCAATTTGCTGGGTCAGATACATGATATCGCTGTGAAAGTTGACGTATGTGCCGAAGGCCCAAGCATTCTGTGTTCGTGAGAGGTACCATTGTCGAGACTCTTTGCAAACTTGTACGATATTCGAAAATGGGAGATGTGATGTAATTGACTCGGTGATCCTTCCGGTATCGCGATTGGTGTTGTTCAAATGATGGACTTTCGGGAGGAGATCTTCGGCGAATACGTATTCCCATATATCCAGGCGAAGCTCGGCTGGTAATCGATTGAATGAAGGAAAGGTTCGAACACCGACTTTGAGTTGTGGTTTGGATTCTGACTCGACCGGGGGATACTTGATATCACGATATTCGGATAGACTCCTGCAACTCAAGCCTTGCCACAAGAAGGATCCCAGTTCCGATAGATTTAAGTCTTGGAGAAGCTCAATTATACTATCATAATCCTCATGACTGCGATTTTTCTTCAAAACAACGTCGAACCTTGGATTTGGCCACTTGGAAACCATAGCTAGCTTGACACTCATTCGAAGTTCATGAGGAATTCTGAGGCGGTGTTGTAAAAGTCGTTGTGCCTCTCTCTCCGTGTTTGGGTCGATAATCTTCATGATTGCTGATTTGAAAGGGTAGGTATAGATGTTATGAAAACGAACTGTATTGTATTGTATGTATCTAGGTATGTTACAAAGATCAATAAACCAAAAAGAAAGCAAGAATGAGGTTAAGAAAGACAATTCTATACTATCTATACTCTTTGTAAGAATATAAGCACCTTGATGATATTGAGCCATCAAGGTTGTAATGTAATGTGATGTTCAAAGATATACTCATATTTGTGAATCATAATGGTGAGTTGTGCACAATCTGAACCACCAAGGTACTTTTCTTGGCTTTGGGTGTGATTGCACCATTGTAGTTTCCATATTGATGATTAGGATTAGAAAGTGTACAAACATCCTGACATGTGACTGACTGATAGTATAATGGAACAGAAAAATGAAGAAAGTTGTCTCATCTTGTCACATGACTTTTGCGGACTTGAGAATAAAAGGGAAAGAACAAATCTAAACGGATTTTTATTAGATGCGGTTGGAATTTGATCGCCAGTGTTGCCATCATCATTTTCAAAGTAGACGACGGGTTTAGCTTCTTGTCCATCACCTCATTGCTAGCACTAGGTAGTATTCATCGCCGTGAGCATGATCAATACATGTACTGTACCAACAAAATATTGGTACTTGAGTTCATCGCCATGTGCGGTATAGCTAGTCCAAGTACCTATCAGCCCCTTTCTTTTATCCGTCACATGATCAGCCACTCAATCTCGTATCCACTCCATAGTCTCATCCTCATCCTTGACGCCAATCTCTGCAACAACTTCGATAAACATGCAACAACGGCTCCTTGTCGGTAGTTGTGGAGACAAGCTTTTCTTTCCAAGCCCTTCGTTCAGAAAATCAGAGGGATTGCCCTAATGACTTGGTCCAGTTTAAGCATCGCCATCCAAGACACTTATTGCTTGGCTTCTATCATTATTTGATGGCTACTTCTCTCAAGGATTTGCTATCAATATCAAAAGTGGCACATTCGAGAAGTTTGATGCTTGATTCACGACGGGTGAGAGATGAGAAACCTCTCAATGACTCTGGGAGATGAGATGCATCGATTAAACGCGAACCAAACAAGGGTGACGTACCCACGTAAGCCAATGCGAGAAAGTGTATCCATTATTCATTTGTTAAGTACCGGTCATTGGTCTTTCAGCCAGCGGATTCCAGATCCCCCTCGTTTTTTTTGCGAGGGAAAACGCTGGAGGATCTACAAAATTCTGAAAATAGTGTTTCGAAATCCCCTGGGATGTGGCTGACGCGCAAGGTCTATTAAAAGGTCGAAGGCAAAGAGAAGAACTTGCCGTGGACCGTATGTCTAAAACGGAACAGTGGAGAAAGAGTTTTGTTATTATGGAGCTGATGGTAAGTGAAGGAGGAAGCATGTCTCCTCTCTGTGAAGTTCTGGAGAATAATCTTCATTTCCTTTCGATTTGAAGGTAAGACGATACGCTTTTCATTCTTAACTTCAGTGATTCGGCATACTTTATCCTATTCTCTCCTTTGGCCGAATTATTTGCGTAATCCGGGGATTGATCGAAAATCCTCTTTTTTGAACTGTTGGTGAAGGGTATTATATACACAGTCCTTATCCCCAAGATTGAATTACGGGAGAGGCCAAGATGAGGGTGTGTGGAGGAAAAGTCTTGGCACATACTGCTGCTATATGTTCAACATGTAGTAGTTTGGTTGGTGCAATTACCATGGACATAAGCTCTGACGGTATGTTTGATCTATCTAATTTCTCCTAATAGACAACGAGCGAAGATACTGATGAGATGGCTATTTTCAGACAGTATCAAGACTGCAGCGTCCGATGTTGCCTACGACATGATGAAATATTACACGGGAAATCACACCGGAGATGTCGCTGGTAACTTACCGGACCCCTATTACTGGTGGGAAGCAGGAGCCATGTTTGGTATAATGGTCGACTATTGGTATTATACGGGGGACACTACCTATAATGCTGAAGTAAAAGAAGCACTCTTACATCAAGCTGGCGACGATTTTGATTTCATGCCCACGAACCAGACTAAAACCGAAGGAAACGATGATCAGGGCTTTTGGGGAATGGCTGCTATGACAGCAGCAGAGGCAAACTTCGATAATCCGGACTCCGGGACACCTGGCTGGTTAGCAATGGCACAAGCAGTCTTCAACGATATGGCATCTCGATGGGACGATTCAACATGTGGAGGGGGATTGAGATGGCAGATCTTCACATTTAATTCCGGATATGATTATAAGAACAGTATTGCGAATGGTTGTTTCTTTAACCTAGGAGCTAGGTTGGCAGCATATACCGGAAATTCATCATATGCCGACTGGGCCGAGAAAGTCTATGATTGGCAAACAAGTATTGGATTGATCGGTGATGGTTATGAAGTCTATGATGGATCATCCGATACTACGAATTGCAGCACGATCGACCATGTACAGTGGACATACAACGCCGGTATATATCTTTTTGGGTCTGCCATGATGTATAATTACGTTCGTCTCCCCTTTTCTTTTCACCATCTTCCAAGTACGCTGTGCAGTTTGATTAACACATTCCTATCAGACCAATGGATCATCAATTTGGGAAACCCGTACAACAGGCCTCTTGAACGCTACTAGCGTCTTCTTTAAAGACGATGTCATGTTCGAAGCAGCATGCGAAAACACCAGCGTCGGTTGCGACACCGACGAACAAACTTTCAAAGCCTACCTTTCTCGTTGGATGGCCGCCACCAGTAAAAGCGCCCCATTCACCGAATCTACAATTATGACCTACATCAACGCATCCGCCCAAGCCGCCGCCAAGCAATGCGACGGGGGTGCGAGTGGAAGAGCTTGTGGAGAGCATTGGACCGCAGGAAGCACATATGATGGAAAATACGGAGTCGGAGAACAAATGAGCGCACTGAGCATCATCCAAGCGACACTCATCGGAACCGCTGCAAATCTCGTCACGATGAATACAGGTGGAACCAGTGTAGGAAATGCCGCGGGCGGAAGTGGAAGCAGTACGAATAGTGATGGCACGGTCGATACTCCGGTCACCAGTGGAGATAAAGCCGGAGCAGGATTCTTAACGGCGGTTATGGTGGTGGGTGTACTTGGGGGAGTAGGATTTATGGTTATGGGTTGAGATGGAGAGGGTGAGTGGGGGATTGAGAGGGAAAGATGGTTGGTTGTTTATAGGACTTAGTTGGGCGTTTAGGGTGTTGGATTTAGTCAGGGTACATAACCAACATTTATCGCATTAGGGGGAGTGTTATCTCGCATTTTAAATACTGACCGGTACGGTACTTGTATATTTGGAATAGGATCTATTTATTTATTTATTTATTACAATTATTAGTATCTATAAATCAAAACTTGTATTTTTGTACTCAAGTAAATGAGATAAAATATCAGAGTATCTATCTTATCCATATCTATTATCCACACCACATCCCCCACTACCCATTATCCTCGCCTAGTAATCCATCCAATCTGTTTTGATTATATTAGCGGTAAAACGTTCAAACGCCTTTATAAATAATCAAACAAAAAGGACAGATGGCCGAGTGGTTATGGCGTGTGACTCAAGCTTAATATACATAGTTTGATTGATTTAATCAATCGGCATTCTCATGGGCTTAGCCCGCGGGGGTTCGAATCCCCCTCTGTTCATTTATTTTTTTTGGCTTTTTTGGGGAATTGAGGAATTGTTTTTGGAGAAGGGGGAAGTGGATAGTACCTAGATTAGATATTTGAGATTCTGTTCTGTACTCGAATCATATTATATGATTCACAAGAATCGATTTTCTATTTATTTATTTATTTATTATAACAAGTATACTCCTGGTATATAAAGAGTAACAGTAAAGAGGGGTCGGTTATTATATTGGCAAAACAATCAAAAAAGAAACCCTGACGTCATCGTTATTATCATTAACACAAACAAGAACAATAACAAGAATAGAAGGAATGTATTCACTATACATACGAGTGGACATATATTTAGACTTCTTTCTCACTTCATCTTACCTATTCTTCTTCTTCTTAGCATACGAACACAATTACATCAAAACAAAACAACTCGAAATCAATCAATCAGTTAATCAATCAGTCTCCAAATCACAACCTACACCTCATACCATACCTTGCCATACCATACCTTATACCTCACAAAACCAAATCAACCCAGACAAACCACAAAACCATCACATCACAACCAATATAAAGCAAAATGCAATCAACACCCTTTACCCTCCGCACCCTCCTCTTCCGCCATTCCCGCAATCTCACTCTCACCCAAACTCAAACCAGACTCATCTCCCGCACTCCTCCCCATCACCTCCAGAAACCCGCTTCTGAAACAATCAAAGAAGCTGTGAAAAAAGTTGATCGGGCTGTTGCCGATAAGATCGTGGGTGGGATTGAGGTTGGTGGTATGCTTTTGTTTTCTTTTGTGTTCTTGTTTCTTTTCTTTTTGTTGTGATTTTGTTGTGATTCGATTTGAATTTGATTTGATTCGATGTTGTGAATTGAGTTTTCAATATTTTCGTTATACTAACACCCATCAACAGAAACCATAACCCAAAAAGCCAAATCCATAGCCAGCACCTCGAGTAGCGAAGCCAAAGGAAAAGCAGCAGAGGTGACGGGGGAAGTAAAGGGAGAAGTGAAGGAGAAAGCTAAGGAGGTAAAGGGGAAAGCTAAGGAGGTGAAGGGAGAGATGAAGGGGAAGAAGGAGGAGGTTGAGGGGGAGTTGTAGGTGGTGGGGGGTTATGGGGTTGTGGGTTGGGGAGATGAAGCGGATGGGGAGAAGAGATGAGGGATGAGGGATGATGATGAGGATGGTGATGATGATGTATGGCATGCATGGGATACATACAAATAGGTTCATCCATATCGGATACGGTAATATGGGATTCAAAGAATGATGAATACGATGGGATGAATTAAAATGGTATTATGATTGCTTCACACACATACACACATACACACTACATATACTCTCGCGTGAAAATATTGGATCTTACGCTGCAATCAAATCAGACAGGCTGCTCTTGAAATATTATCATTAAGTAATCCGTATCTACATACAGTACATACCAAACCTATCGCCTCAAACCCCTCGCTCACTCTTTTAATTTATCTCATTTCACCTCGATTCGTTCCACCCAGCCCAAACCCAACCATATATACAAAACATTCCCATCATTTTCCTCATTCCTCATCCTCATCCCCATCTCCTCAATGCCCACCCCTCCTAGCCATATATCCATTACCCCTCCTCAAATTCCCATTGCCCATCGCCAAATTAGCCACTCCGCCATTCAACCACCCAGCACCACCCCTCCTTTTATCCTTCTCCTTTCCTTCATCGGTACTCGCCGTTAACGCATACCACATATCCATTATACCCGCTCTACGTGCTGGTAACATACTATATTGAAGAGAATACAAGTTTTTACGATGGATAGGCGGGACAAATTTACCCGTGGCGAGACAGAGGAGAACGCGGGGTGAGGCGTAGTGTTTACGGATCCGATGACCAAGTTGGAAGTATTGGTGAAACATGGCGCGGAAAGTAAGAGGGACGGACTATAGATTTTATGTTAGTAGTGTTAAAGTTCATGAGTATGCGAAGAATCATACTTTAAGGTAGATATATGATGTCGGCGGAGGAGATGGAGTATTAGGTATTTGACTTGCTAGTTGTTGGGCATCTCGAAGTTCAAATCGTATGCCACCTTTATATGTGAGCATGATGTAGTCCGAAAACATTGGGTGAGAACCTACCTGGTAATCGTTGCGAATCTTTAAGTCGTAACATTAATGCAAATAGTGGAAAATGATTCAAGCAAGCAAGCAAAGCGTCTAAAACAGCTTTCAATGAGATAATTGCCATGCGTGCACATGCGAATGCCAAGTAAAACACAACCACTGTAGGTAGGAGAAAGAAGAGTAGCGTGAATAAAATCGTGCCGAGCAATAATTGATCGAGATCATAATCGCAAGAGTCGATGCGTTTGCGTAGAACATTATGTTTCTTACCGCGAAATAGCTGAAATAAGGAGAGAAGTATCGTATACTGCCAATTGAAGATACGTGCAGAAGCCATATAAAACGAGTAGATGTGAAGTGTCAAGATGGTGAGTAGGTCGGAGAACAGGGCGATGGGCATGCTGGCTCCAGCAAAACTGGAAAATCCAACAACCCATATAACATGAGGCAGCACTGGGTGTAAAGCTTCAATACAGCCTGAGAAAGTTAATTGATGTATACTTTGGAGCAGGAATAAACATACTTGACCAATGATCGATGACCCATAAGAACAAATCACCCAGAAAAGCAGCCAGCTCAGTATTAAGTTTCAAGCCAGCCGGCCAGTCCATAAGCCAAGTGATGGTTCTTTGCAGTGCAGCTATAGAATAAGTGCTCAGGATTTCACTGATGGTTTCTGCGACCCAGGTAGAATTGTCAATGATGTACGACCCCAATGCAATTCCAATTATCACGTCGTTTGCAACTAGCCAAAGACTATTGTAAAATCGTATGTAGTCCGGATGACTTGTCGTCACGCTACCCCAGTCTCTTTTGCTCTTCCGAAGAGTGACATATTGCATAGGCCAATAACAAAATTGTTGTAAGCGTATTTCCACCTGCTGTGCAGTTGCGGAGATATCTTTCAAAGCTGCATAGTCTGGCTTAGCTCTCCATTCCAGAACCAACAGTAGAGCTTCAGCAGCAAACCTATGGCACACAAGACCAACGACAAATCCACGTCTGAGAATAGGATATATGTAGAGTGTGATCATTTTCCATATCGTCAAAAGAACGAAATCACGCATCGTGGTTGCCGACTCCACTACTCTTTCCGACACGCTCAGACTTCTCCTTGACCGAGCTCCAACTAGCGAGATATTCTTCTGTAATAATTGATGGACCTCCCACGCACAATTGATTTGATTGACTATTCTCGTCAAGGCAAGTTCTTTTTGGGACGGTGGATGTTTAACAACCGAGTGATACTTCAACTTTTCGACGAGTTCCTGAGTCCTTTTTCTCTGTCTGAGTTCTTCTCGCTCTTCTTCGGCATCAACACTGCCTGGTGCATGAAAAGTCATTTCAGCCTTGTCGTCCAGTGCTAAGGATATTGGCTTTAAAGAAATGTATTGCATCCTATTGGGCTGAGGTCGATCAAACACGACTATTTGATTCGTTGATGCCCGGGCACAAGATATCTGAGGTAGTTTATATGCTGATCCCGTAGTTGCGCGGATTTGAAGGTTATCGACATCGGCTTTTGGTGAATTTGCTAGGCCCAACACCTGTAGTGAGGACTGCCCACATAATTCATATATTCGTTCGATAGGATGATTGGCATTTCGGAACAGGGTTCCGACTTTCAATGCATTCTCTACATTGCGCGCCTGCTGTTACGTCAGTCGACTCTGTTGTACTAGCCTCACTGCTACTCACGTCAACATCCTCCAATATCGCAACCACAAATATATCAAGGCCCGAGTTCCTCCAGCCTACTATTACTCCAGGTGAATCACTTCTTGGTATATCCCTCGGCCAGAAAATCCTCATCATGCCATCATGATCGGGCATGACAACTTCTCAGTTGTCCTAAATTCCTTCCTTTCAAAACGAACCCCTTCGTCGCAATTGTTCTCGTGCAGATATGCCGACGCTGCCGGATCGCGGATGCTATTGGGTTGTTAGCTAGATTTTGTGCTGTAGATGTAGTGGTTATTTACTAGTGTCGTCTCCCTCGACGCGAGCCTTTCCACTGGTATGATGAATAGAAAGAAGAATAGGGAAAGAATTGCGAATCCTTTAAGAGTGCGTGTCTATGCGCCAAAGTAGTATCAGTAAGATGTATCGAATAGATTCAGGGGGTATCGAAGCTCACCACTACTCCGTGATCCCATGCGAATATTGCCAGCTCATAAAGTCTAGTAACCAGGTCCCACCTCGCAGTGATGTAGCCGGCTACGAATATCGCAAGTGTGAGAATAGAGAAGGGGTGCATGAATTGTTTCCTATTGCTGGCGCATCACTGTACGATTGTGCTGTGGGAAATTCGAGAAGGTTGACTGCCTACTACAGGAGGTTACTCGTTACTCGGCGGAGGAAAAGACGGAGGGAGGGGTGAAGATGAAGGCAGAGGAAGAATGAATGATGTGAGAATGTACTCGAGTAAGGAACCTAGCTATATTAAGGGTGTTTTCAAAACTATGAAGTTCGAGATTCCCACATATTTATTATTAAAGTCGGGGTCCAGAATTTGGGTGGGATTCTTTTTCTGGATCTCTACAATTATGATATCCCATCAACCAATCCTAATTCAGGAATTTAAACTTTATCTGGAGATGTGAACAGAGAAGGGCTGTAGACAATTTGTGACCATGGTCAATATTCGCAGGGGTTGAAGAGATTAAGCTTTCAAGATTAAAATAGAAGAACACGTGACAGGTTCATGTAAGTTACAACATTGGGGAATCTGATGTTTGGGGAAGATGTACTGTATCTATTTATGGAGGTAATCGAGTACTGGTAGGTGAAGATGTTGTTATTCGAACTAGTCGAGTACGAGTACCGGTAGATGAAGATGTAGTTGTTACTGTTCTTGTCCTATATTTTTGGTATGATAAAACGGATACAACTTTACTCGAGTATAATAGAGAGATAATGATATGAGTAGGTAGCAGCTAGTTACCTAGTTTACAGACAACTGGAAATATTGGAAATGTCTTCTGAATTTGAGAATTCCCCTTCCAAAATCAGATATATTCATCAAAGTCCTATAATGGCAGGTAAGAGATATAGATGATTGGTGATATGCTATGTATGTTGCTGGTATATTTTGCTGAGGACTACGAGTGCCTCCTTTCCCCTCCCCCCAACCCCCCCATCTTTTCATTATCATATAAAATTGAGATGATTTCAAAGCTCACAACAAGAGTAAAATGTTAGCTGTGAAACCATCCTGACGCCTTTCCCATGCATAGGTACGAGTATGTAGTGCTGTTGGTACAATTTGGTGCCATAAAGATATTCCATCCTACTCTACTCGGCCATTAGATTTATATAGATATCATAATCAAGAAGCATATGAGAAACTTACAAGGCCGCCGCAAGTTTACGGCATCATGTTCCTTATGATCCTCCCGTGCATCTTCAAGCATTTTATCGATACCACGCTCTTTCAAAGCACCCTACAAACATCGATTAGAATGGGGATCATTCAGAACTACTGAAGGAATTTCCAAACTTACTGTTAAGCATTTCCTGTAATCTTTGAATAAAGATTCGCACTCATCCGTCGTACCTTTGCCTCGAAGGTATTCTAATGATAATGTCAGTCTATCCATCTATATGTTCTAGATACTGACTGGTGTTACTTACTTTCGCTATACCACTTTAGGAAGCACGAATCATATCGTCTTTGAAAATGTTCAGTATCTCAAGATTGATCAAGTAACAAAACAGAGGATAGAAGTGTCATTACATACTCCTTGACTTCATTACATTCAGGTGCAAGTGAAGCCGACATAATCTGCCAAGATTTGATCTTGATTTTGATGAGGAATAATGTTATTATTGTATGTGATATGTTTGTTGTATGTTGTATTATGTCGGTTGTTGTCAGTTCTATTTTCAATATCTTGTATGGTTGAGTTGAAGCTCTTTCTTTGTCATGTGAAAGTGTGAAGATTGGTTGACTGTCTTGTCTGTCTGATCTGAAAGAGAGATCCGGCTGGAAATAAATAAATGAAATGCGGAGGGACCCAAGCTGCAGCAAGGGTAGGGTAATCCGGTAATCCAATAAAATACGCTAGTTATGCTCGCACCGGTATATAATAATGACAGGGGTATGAAAGTTGACTTTGAGCATTTTTTAGCAAATCGAAATCGAGAATTCAAAGCAATCTTTTGCACAAACAACAATTGATTCCCATCAACCATGCCCGGCGATACGCAAGACTTCAAGTCCTTACAAGATGAAGTTCAAGCAGCTCTTGTATCAACCATCAAAACTGCCGGTCACATATCATCAGAAGACCTCGGTTTTCATCGATCATTGAATCCTGAAGTGGGGAGTGCTCTAGATGAACAGAATGCGCGTTTACTTTCCCTTGCCAATGACTTGCTTAAATCTGCAGGTTCTGTATCAGGTCTACAAGTACCTTCTTTAGAAGATGTCGATGACGTGGACAACAATTGGCGCAGTGTCGTGGACGTTGTGGATTCCTTACTTGAAAAAACGGATATCTGCCTTGACGAATATACAGGAATTATCAAAAAGAAACAAGTCGAAGAGGTAAGAGCTGAGTCGCATATGCCATTAGATTATGTACTGATATCTGCCAGTCTTCTGCGACACCAAAACCCCAGAAAAGGTTCCTTGACAACTCGCTCCGAACACAAAATCTTGTGAAGCCGCAACTCGCATTCGAGGTCAAACCCGACAATGAGGATACATCATCCTGGCTACCTCTTCTCAAAACCAAACCGCATGCGAAGGTGTCATTGAAGGATAGTCTTGGTATGATTACAAACGATTACGACCAGGAACAGTATGCCTATTTCATTCCCCTCGCGTTGCTCCCTTTGGAACCCCCGCATGAAGAAGAGAAGTTAGAAGATTTAAGAGAGTCGACCAGAGCCAAGCGCTCTAAGACCCACGGGAATAGACTAAAGAGTTTAGGAATTGGTTATTACTACAAGGATTACTAACAAGCAATTTAGATACAGACATCCTTACGAAACGGAAATCCTGCAATTGCAATACCCAGAATCTATGTATCAGAAAGCAGAACCAATAAAATACCTACCGGTCGAAAGCACATCTGCGACGTTTGTCGATACCTACGAAGGCGTTCTGGAGATGCTAGAAGAGCTTAAAGGTGCTACGGAGATCGCGGTCGACTTGGAGCATCATGATGCTCGTTCATATGTTGGTCTTGTATCTTTGATGCAAATCAGTACTCGCGAGAAGGATTGGATCGTGGATACCCTCAAGCCTTGGAGACAAAAGCTGCAAGTACTCAATGAAGTTTTCGCCGATCCAAGTATAATCAAGGTATATTGAATCATTTCAAACTTCCCTCAATGTTCGCTGACGAGTTAGGTTTTCCACGGTGCTTATATGGATATCGTATGGCTCCAGCGAGATCTTGGGCTGTATGTCGTCGGCTTGTTCGATACACATTACGCATGCAGAAATTTGGGGTTCGCCGGAGGAAGCTTAGCTTTCCTACTAAAGAAGTACATTGATTTCGATGCCGACAAGAAGTACCAATTGGCAGACTGGCGAATTAGGTAAGTTTGATATCAACCGTTCTTGTCACTTTATACTCACAGCTTTTAGACCACTTCCTGAAGAGATGTACTTCTATGCTAGATCTGACACACATTTCCTTCTCTATATCTTTGATCACCTACGGAATGAGCTAATTGATGCTCCTGACACTGAAACACCTGGAGAAAACCGAATGGAGATAGTTTTACAAAAGTCCAAAGAGACTTCGTTGCTTCGATATGAGCGACAAACATACAATACAGAATCTGGAAAAGGACCGGGAGGGTGGTTTTCATTAATTTACAAGACACCTGCTCTGTTAAGTAGCGAGCAATTTGCTGTTTTCAAAGCCGTACACGCCTGGAGAGATCAGATAGCACGAAAAGATGATGACAGCATAAATTTCGTCATGTCGAATGCTGTTATCGTCAACCTAGCAAAATTCATGCCCATGGATATGATAGCTTTACTGAGCATCATTCGACCAATATCTCATAGTGTAAAGTCACGCACCGGAGAACTTTTGGAAGTCATCAAGACTGCAAAGGAAAACGGAAAAGATGGTCCCAAATCGATAGATGTCCTCAGAAAATCACCAGATGCGGCGGGTACTCCAAAGCCCAATACCGAAGGGAAATCTACACACCAAAAGTCATCTAAACTTGACGTAACACCAGTAGACAAAACTGAACTTACAACTGAAACATCTTCTTTCTGGGGAGGTGCATTTGGAAGCAGTATTTGGGAACCCTCAATCGCAACCCCCGAGCAAGATAACATGAGGCTTGCAATCCCCTTACCCCAACTCTCGGAAGAAGTTTTCGCCCCCTCAACCACTCCCCTTACCGATCGATCCCGTTTCGCCATGCCAGATGCCCAAATACCAGTCGCGACACCTACACCTAGCAAAGCGAAAGACGAACCATTTGTTCTTAAACGCGGTTCCAAAAGAAAGAGTGAAGTCATCACCGACCCCGATGAGGATCAGGAGGTCCCTGGCGAATACGACATCTCCCTCGACTACATTTCATCCGCGGAGGTCGACAGACGCGAAGCTAAAGCTAAATTTATGGCCGCGTCAGCAGCACGTAAAGCGGAGAGAAAATTACTGAAGAAGCAAAAGAAGAAAGCAAAGAAAAACGATTCAGAAGACGTAGAGGAAGCGGAAGTAGAAGAGCAAGAGCAAGAGCAAGAGCAAGAGCAAGAGCAAGAGCAAGAGCAAGAGGAAGAGGAAGAGGAAGAAGAAGGAGACTTCGACTACAGCAAAGCAGACTCGGTACTCAATTCTAAGAAGGATAAAACTGAAAAGGGTGGAAAAGGCGGCAAATCAAAGAAAGATAAACCGTTTGATCCGTATCAGAAGAGTATGGATGCAGCGAAGGGAATGAGGCGAGTACAGACAGGAGAAAGGGGTGGAAGAAGTGCTACATTTAAAAAGTGATGGGATGGATATTAGTCACCAGAAGAATTAAAACATTGGCTAGGAGTAATGTATGAGAGTTGGGCATTTGAGCATTGAGCATTCAAGATTTTATATGTGCAAATAGAAAGGATGTATAAAAAGACATTGATGTTGAAGTGAAGAAGAGAGAGGGCTCGCGCGATTCATACGATACAATACAACACAATACAATACAATACATTGAAAACCGGCTCAAATACTTGCTTGCTATAATAATATACCGGTAGTTAGTAAGTAATTCGCGTACCCCCCCCC